AAAGTCTATGACTTGCTAGACACACGTTTCCCACTAGTCTCTCTCTGAGGAACTGTCATCAGAAGCAATGATCACACAATCAGATATGATTACAACAGACACAGGGAAATAATGACACACGACAATAACCTGAAAGTAGAAGTGACTTCCATTACTTCTAGAGGTATTATTTTTATTTTCAGGGTTAGCGCTATTGGCAAATACCTGACAGGACAGTTTCCATTACCACAATATATCACCTTCGTATAATGCAATCTTTAGAGAGACTGTAAGACAGGCAGCCCGGGGCAGGCATTCTCATTCACTGGAAAGACTACTAAAATAGAATCTTTTTTAAAATTTTATTTCTTGATTTTACAGAAAGAGAAAGAGGGAGGGAGGTGGGGGGGGGAGAGAGAGAGAGAGAGAGAATATGTCGATTTGTTGTTCTACTTATTTGTGCATTCACTGTTGCTTCTTGTATGTGCCCTGACCAGGCATCGAACCTGTGATCCTGGTGTATCCGGATGATGCTTTAACAAACTGAGATACCCAGTCAACACCTAAAACAGAAAGAATCTTATTCTTGTGTAACTTTTACTTTGTTTACTGCCTGTCATCCTCTCAGACACAGAGAAGATCAGACCATGAAGAGCCTTACTAAGGAGTTTGGATTTTATTCTACATGTAGCCAAAGGCCACTGAAGAGTTTTAAGCAAAGGACAGATATGGTCTGACCCGGGTAGTCAGAAGGCCGCTGAGGAGAATGGCCACTGTGTGGAGAATGGAGGGAACTGGCGAGGAGAATAATAGGGACCTCAGGCAAAAGAGGGGAGCGGACTGCTAGACTGTGGAAATGGAAGAGACAGATTCAAAGTCAGTCTTGGTGTCTCAGCCTTGACTTTGAACCTCTTTTTTTTTTACACCCTTGGGTAAGTTACTTCAACTCTTTGGGCCTTAGTTTCTTTACACTGCAATGCTTACAAAGCCCTAGCACGTAAAAACCACAGTAAATTATTACACTACTTTGGGAACAAAATTCATTTGCATGAGGTTCACACACGTTGACGTCCTTTTCCTCCTAAGCCCACATTAAACCTAAAGTCAGTCATTTTTAGCAAGGTCCCAGTGCAGTGACGTCCAGGTGCTGCACTGACTCCGTAAAGCGACAGGCCCCTGCTTCTCGCAGAAGTTATACTAAAACAACTGCTCATAAATATACATTGAACAAGGTGTTTTTCTCAAATTAGTAAGTCTACTTGGCACCTTCAATTTGTTTTCACATGCCTTCTTTCATTTCCTCAGTATTTAAGAGTAAAAAGAATACAAACAGCCCTGGCTCTGGTATGGCTCGGTGGACTGAGTGCCAGCCTGTGAACCCAAAGGTCCCTGGTTCAATTCCCAGTCAGGGCACATGCCTGGGTTGGGGGCGAGCCCGAGGCAACTGATCCACGTTTCTCTCCTCCTTCTCCCTTCTTTCCCCTCTAAAAATAAATAAAACCTTTTTGTTAAAACACACACACACACAAGCAGAATCTTGTAGTTAAATTGTAATAAAGATTATGGTGTTTGCTACCAACTATTTTAATTTCTTCTGGCAATAGCATTCGCTTTTTAAAAATATTTTATTTATTTATTTTTAGAGAGAGGGGAAGGGAAGGGGAAAGAGAGGAAGAGAAACTTCAGTGTGTAGTTGCCTCTCATGTGTCCTCTACTGGGGACCTGGCCTGCAACCAGGCGTGTGCTCTGACTGGGAATCGAACCAGCGACCCTTTGCTTCACAGGCCTGCGCTCAATCCACTGAGCTATACCAGCCAATAGCGTTCATTTAAAACTTAGTATTAAGTGACAGCATTCCTCATCCTTACGGCACTGAGACAATGGAAAACTGACTTACCAAAAGCTCTCTTTTATAAGTACGTGGATTATAAATATCTGTAGCTTCCCTCATGCTTGATTATTCCTTCGACAGAGGATGACCCACCCTAAACATCTCCTACTGCCCTCACTCACTCACTATGTCCTGCAGAGTAGCCACAGGCAAGATGGCAGCCTGGGCACCACCCGAGGGCCCAGATTAATGTAGTAACATCCTGATCCTCCGGGAGTTTACAAACCACTGAGATTAGGTGCTCACGGGTGAAAAGGGAGGAGCGATGCAGACCGAACTACAGGTATTAAAAATAAAGAGATCAGCCCCGTGGTGTGGCTGGCTCAGTGGATCGAGTGCCAGTCTGAGAACCAAAGGGGTCCCTGGTTCGAGTCCCAGTCGGGGCACTTGCATAGGCTGTGGACCAGGTCCCCAGTAAGGGGTGCATGAGAGGCAACCACACACTGACGTTCTTCTCCCTCTCCCCCTCACCCTCTCTAAAAATAAGTGAATAAGATCTTTTAAGAAGAGAGAGATCAATTTTGGTTGGGGTGGTCAGAAAACGCTTCACAGCTAGTGGAACCTGAGCTGGACCCTTGGGTGACAGGATTTTGACAGAATGTGTTAGGAAGAAAGCAACCACAAGAGACCAAAAAGCAGCATGCATTTATGTTTAGGGGCTTTTTTTAAAATAAAAAATTAAAGCCCTGGCTGGTGTAGCTCAGTGGATTGAGTGTGGGCCTGCGAACCAAAGGATCACGGTTCAATTCCCAGTCAGGGCACATGCCTGGGTTGCAGGCCAGTTCCCAGCAGGGGACTCACGAGAGGCAACCACACATTGATATTTCTCTCCCTCTCTCCTTCCCTTCCCCTCTAAAGATAAATAAAATCTTTAAAAAATAATAATAATAAATAAAATTAAAAAGTGTAAAAGTATACAGAATAAATTCATGAACCTACATGCACTCATCATTGAGATTCAACAATTATAAACTCACGACCAATTTCTAAAAAAAATTTTATTCGCTGATTTTAGAGAAAGGGGAAAGGAGAGAGAGAGAGAAACACCGGTCTGCTGTTCCACTTATTTATGCATTCACTGGTTGATTCCTCTATGTGTCTGACCACACCACCCTCTTGCAATGATGTAAGGACTTTCATCTCAAAACACGCTATAGCTACATGCCAGGGGCTAAGCATTGTGATTTCAAGGAGCTGTGAAGCAGATGAAGGGAGCTGAGACCAAAAGAAATATGTCAGTAGGACAATTCTTGCAAACTGTCAAATTTCACCCCCCCCCCCCACTGGTATGGCCATCCAACATCATACAGAGGTAGTGTGTGGCCAACCTACCTGGTAAGACTCTGTCACTGTCCCTACTTCTTGGCCACTGTAATTACCCTGACAACTCAAGGCCCCTACACAGCACAGGGAAAACAGAAGGGCAGCAATCATGACTCTCAGCTGGGCCCCGATGGGCGAATTACCACAGGACAAGAGCACCTTCACCTTGATTTCTTACTCAGTCCGTGAAAAGCTCCAACTGCAGTCTTGTGTTCTGTATCACCTGCTGCTGAGAGGCACCTCACTGCTGCTGAAAACTATCAAATTAGTTCACACGTTTTTTTAAAAAAACACATACGCAGTCACCACTGTTCACGAAGATTGTAATTCTTCTTTAGCATTACTTTCTTTCAATACTGCAGTTATTTTCTTGAGCTGGTACACACATCACTTAAGTGCACTTTTCAATTATCGCCTTCAACCACCAATCTTCTCCCTACGTGGAGACACGGGCTCTGGACTCTCTGACCCCAGCCTTCACCAGTCATTCATTCAGTGAAGACCTACTTCCAACCAGTCTTTATTTTCAGATAGGACCCATTTCTTTGCAGTTTCCCTAAGATAATTATAACAGTAAAATACAGCACTTCAGTTTGTCATGTGCTTTGTAGTTGCCCATTTAATCCTTACAGCCTATGAAAAGGGTAATTCCCCTATCCATAAGAAAAAGAAATGGACAACTTACTATCTTGTCTAGTTATAAAGCAGGTTACGGGTGAACCGGGCCTCCAAGCTAAGTCCTCCAACTCCAAACACCAAGCTCTTCTCCCTCGGTGATGCTCCCGGGAAAGCCCACGGGTCCGTTCCAAACCACAGTTGCTTCAGAGAGTAAACCACCTTTGAACAATCTACCATCATCCCTTTTCTTGCTTCCTTACCCTCCAATTTTCACTCTTCACGGATACCATCACCACTCTCTTAAAGCCTCCTGCAAATATCCCACTTTTACATGCTGAACGGAGACCTCTGATCCCCCTCTCCCCAAACGCTCCTTGGCACTCTCTTCTCAGGATAGGTATGTTCTCACTTCATAAACTATTGTACACAGCACTCTTCTCAGCCCTTAATAAGCTATTTAATAACTTTTAAAGTGCCATGAAAATAAACATAACTTGCAGATCCCCCATCTCCACACCTGACCAGGGTGCCAAGCCACTCTGAATTCTGAAGAACAGACCCTTAACAGATTCTGCCCAGGCCCCACTATCGCCGACTTCCTTTCCATAAGTTGGTTATCCAAAGTGGCTCCCTTTCCCATGTCTTCATGAGGGACTCTCTCCCTTCACTCCCCATCCCAGCTCTAAGCAGCAGCCCCAGGTGAGGCTGCTCCTCCTCGCTTACAACTTCCAAGTTCGGCCTCATCACCTGTTCTCACTCAACCCAGTGGCCCACCTTTGCCCGGGCCCGCTTCTCTCCACCCATTCCTCCTGCCCAGGAACCCACAGGCTCAAGACAGTTCCGGGGTTTTCAAGGGATTCCACTGCCCACCCGTGGGCTTCCCACCCCTGGGGTCATGCTTCCCTGCACCATCACCTGCTCCGCCCAAGACCAGATGACAAACGCCGCGGCCACCGCCTCCTCCTCCTCCTCCATCCCCCCTTCTCGGACGCCGGGTCCCCGGCCGCGCCTCCTCCCCGGAGCACCAGCCGCCCCCTCTGGTGGGAACGAGGGGGGCGTGCACCCCAACACGTGCCCCCCGCAACACGCACCTGTTCCTCTGCCTCCTCCCCCCCCCCCACGGCCGGCCGCCCCGGCGTCCCGACCCCCACCCTCGCCGCGCCCCTGCTTTCCGAAGTCCGGCACTCACCACGAGTAGGTCTGCTCCGCCATGGCGCTGACTCTCAAGGGCTCCGCTGCAGGCTCTGGCCCGGCCCGGCGGCAGGGGAACGAACGTGCAGCGGGCTCGCTCGGGCCGCGAGCGGAAGGCGCGGCCCGGCGCTCGCTCCCTCGCTCGCAGGGCGGGCGGGCCGGGAAGGCGGCGGGCAGGGAGAGGCCGGGCTCCGAGGCGGCCCCGCTCCTTGGGCCCCGGGGCGGGGCGGGCTCCGCTCTCGGCCTCCTTCACCGGCGTCGGCGGCGGCGACTCCGCTGCGGCTCTAAACCCAACATGGCGGCGGCGGCGGCGCTGAAAACAAGGGGGCCCCGGGGCGGGCGGACGGCAAGTGGGCCCCGCGCTCAGTGCGCGCAGGGCCGCGGGAGCGCCGTGCTCGGGCGGCGGCGGCGACGGCGGCCGGGGGACATGGCCGGCGGGCGGAGGTGACGGCGGCAGCGGCAGCAGAGGGGGGCGCTAAGCGGTGAGGCGAGGCCGCTCGGCTTACACCCGTGGAGGGAAGGAGAGGAGGGGGCGGGGGCCAGTCTTGGCCCCGCGCGGGTCACGTGCCCAAAACACGCTCACGTGATGCGCGCGCCCCGCCTCTCGCGCTGGGCCCATGCGCGGAGACGTCGGTTCTTCGGTTCGAGGCGACTGTTGCTTGCACAGCTCCTGGGGTTGGGCCTCCTTCTGCAGCCCGGTGCCACCCCCTTTCCACGCGGAGCCATCTACTCAGCTCCCCCTTCCCTGCCCCTTTCCAAGGGGCTACTGCAGCCAGCCAATCAGGAGCCCCGATGAGTGTCCGTTGGCTGCCACTCAGCCGTCAGCCGTCAATCAACGGCTTACTGGCCAAGGGTCCCTAACTGTCAGTCAACTGCCAGTCGTCGAGCAGAATGCCGCATCCCTTCGTTTGTTCGTTGGTTCCGTTTATGCCAGCAAATATTCAGAGCAACCAAACTTACAGCGCCTAGGCTCTGTGTCAAGTCTGGGGGCGAGCGGGCAAGTCAAGTACTCCATACTTGCTTTCATTTAATCAATCAACGTTTAATGGGTGCCAACTATCAACTCATTCTGCTGTACCTCTGCCCTCTGAGAGCTTACAGTCTAGAGGAACTTAAACATAAACTAAGCTGACAATATAAATGAAGATAGTTTCAGATGGTGCTAAGTTTTATGGAGATGATAACACCAAGTAATAGAACAGAGAATGTGTCGGGCTGACGGCTACTTTTGACCAGGTGGTCATGGAAGGCCTCTGGCTGAGTAGGTGATGTTTGAGCCGACACCGGAAGGATGAGAAGGAGCAGGCCATGCAAGAGCAAAAAGCTCAGGGAAACCGCCCATCTGGAGTACTGGAGGTAGGCACAGGAGTAAATATACTAGAGCTAGACCAGAGGCCAACAAAGGGAACCTGGGGCTTAGGGGGAGAGAGGAGGGAGGGATGAATTGCACCCCAGGGTACTGGGGAATGCTTCTCTGGGAATGCATGAAGTGGAGTCTTACCAGGAGAGAAACCCTTCTAGGAAGAGAGCTCCTCATGAGGCAAGGCCTAAAGATGTGAAGGTTCAGAGTGAACTTGTATCCAGGATTGGGGGGTGGATGATTTGTGCTGGGCAGTGTTGAGGGAAGAGGCAAAAAAGGTGCATTGAGGACAGACTTTGAAGTGCCTAACCAATTACTATGTTCGTGAATAAAAGTGCTCAGTGCAGCTCCAGGTTTTAGAAGCACGCTTGGGCAACAGACAAACTAGCCCCCTGGACCTCCAGGCTCCACATAGAGCAGAACCCACACACTTGAAACCAACATACTCAACCTCCTCTGCAGCTCGTCCAATTTCGGGCCAGGATCTAGCTGTGCTCCAGTTTCCCAGGGCCTGCCCAGGCTTACGGGGAACACCACACCCTGAATCTATCTCCAAATGGATCAGCTGGCCATTGCCCATACATCTGCACTCGCCTGTTCCCCTAGGGGAATCCTTTAATGAGAAAGCCAAGTACTCTTTTCCTTCAGAAGCAATCTCGCCTTCCTCCTTCCCCCAATGCCCGGTGCCAGGACGAGTCAGGTTCACCATATTTCCTGAAGCTCTACCAGAGACCGGCTGGGAAAAAGCCAGCTGATAAGATCAAAGTCCCCAGAGAGGGTTGAGGCAGGGCCTTACCAAAGTATTCAGAGACCCTCCCCTGAGCATTCACAGAAAGATACCCGCCCTCAAATGTCTGCTTGGCCACAAATGGCACTGGATGTGGGGATATCATGGGGAAATGGGAAGGCAGGGAACCTAAATTCTCGACATTAACTTAGCTCTTACAACTTTGCCCAGCGCTTTTACAGAATTCCAGCTGTACCCTTGAACATGACACACAGTCATTCTGAGTCTCAAAGGGGCATGAATGAGTCTTCACACCCCATGGGAAAAGCCAAAAGCTGTTGGCACCAAGTGGCTTTGGGAGGGTTGAAGCTCCTTCTCTGGAGAGCTAAGAGCAAAACAGACCAGACAGGTCGCTAATGAAACAAAAAGATACACTGAGCCCCTGGGCAATTCGCTTGGGCTTCAGTTCCAGTGAGTCATAGAAGGCAAAGCCAAGTGGAAATTTGGTGGTAGGTGGGTGGATGGGACAGGAGATAGTGAGGAACGTCAAGGCCTCCTCAGGAGCAAAGGAACCACTCTCTGCACTGAGAAAAATCTGGTGGAAGAAAGAAGGGAGAAGGGCTCCGAGTGAAGGTATGGTGTCAGAAATGAGAACAAAGATTTCCTTCTCTTCATCTAAACAATAGACTCTCCAAGTGTCTCTTGGGAAAACAAATGAATGCACATCATACAGGAAGCCAAAACAGCTCTGGCTGGTGTGGCTCTGTGGACTGAGTGCCAGTGTACAAACCAAAACGTCTTCAGTTCGGTTCCCAGTCAGGGCACATGCCCGGTCCCCAATCGGGGGCACGCAAGAGGCAACCACACATTCATGTTTCTCTCCCTCTCTTCCACCCTCCCTCCCTCTCTCTCTAAAAACAAATAATATCTTAAAAAAAAAAAAAAGGAGCCAGTGGCATTTGGCAGGAGTGGGAGATTGTCCAGGCCACAGAAATCTATGTCCATGGTCACAGGAAGACAGAGTGTGAGCCCAGAGACTGGTAGCTGGAGTATCTCAGGCTTAGGTTGCCCACAAGTAGAAAGCACCTCCAGGTCTCGGTCAGGATGTCTGCAAGCTTCTGAAGTCCCCCCCGAAGGTCAGGCTGAAACAAATCTGAAGCCTGTGGGTAGACTGGAGGCAGCCCAGCCTCGGGCACTCAGAGTGACTTTGATTCCCCCCACCAGCAACACTCAGCTCCAAGCTGCATCAGTCCCAAGTGCATCTATGGTACCTCTGGGCCTCAGTTGATGAGTCAGGCGTTCTTGGCAGGAGATAAAGGCATTGCCAGCCCCTCCCCCCCCAGCCCCACAGGTGAGAGGGCCACAGCTTGTGCAATGTTTGTTGAAAGAGACAATGGAAGTTACTCTAATTATCACAAAGGTAATTATAGGATCGCTCCTTCTACCAAGTGTGTCTAAGAGACTTGGGGCATCTCCCCAGGACGCGTCATCTGCCTTAGGCACAGACTCAGGGGAACAGGCATTGCCAGGTCTGGCTGGGCTGCCTGGGCTCTGCTTCTGAGAGGGTCAAAGGCTCAGGTCTGACAGGTCCCCAGCTGTCCCTCCAGTCCTTTTCTCACCTCTGACCTCCATTTCCCCATACCCCCATATACACACACACAGGCACTCCATGGTGCACTGCTTGGAGCTTCCCAAGGGGCTCGTGTTCTTTTTTGCTTCCAGACCTGTGACCCAGTCCAGGAGGCATTCCTACTGCCTTTAACTGCTGCTCGTAATTTTGAGGCATGGCTTCCAGGAAGTCTCGCTTGACCAAACCTCGGCTGGTTAGGTACTCCTCCCTGTACTCCTGTGAACCCCTGAATTTACACTTAGCACAAGGAACTGCCTGTTTACTTGTCATCCTCTCCCACCGGATGGTGAAGGCCTTGTGGAAAGGACTGTCTGTGGCTTGTTGCCAATTACATCTTCAGCGCCCAGAGCGGAACTTAGAGTCGAAGCTCAAAGACTGTGGAATGAACGCTTGAGTGAGCAAGAAGGTGAACCAGGTTTCAGAACAACTGGTTTCGCCTGTTATGCCCATGATTACTTACATCCTTCATCTCACATTCAGCCTCCTTTCCTATCCCCGCTGCAACTCCCTCCCGATTGGGAAAGAAAATCGCTAAGGGCAGAGAAATCTCTGTCAGAGACATAATGGGAAGACAAGATCCGAAATCAGGTACATGGTCAGCTCACTGGGCATGAGGTCACTTCTACAGTCTTTGATCATGGGTTTTTTAATTAGAATGCATTTTAATTAGAATGTTTAGTTCATTTACACGTGATGTAATTATGGATGTGTTTAAGATTAGTTCTATCATCCTGCTATTTGCTTTCTACTGGTTCCATCGTTTTTGTTGCTGTTCCTCCCCTCCTGCCTTATTTTAAGTTAATCGAATAATTTTTTGTATTGCATTTTAATTCCTCTATTGGCTTTTTTAGATATACCCTCCTTGAATTGTATTTGTGCAGTTGCTCTAGAGATTACAATGTGCATCTTTAATTTATCTCAATCTACTTTAAATTAATGCTTCACTAGTTCATATGAAATATAGGAACTTCACGACAATTAGCTCTTCTTATTCCCACTCTCACGTGTGTGCTGTTGTTATCGTATAAGTTATATGCATCTGTGTTGCAATCCCCACAATACAAGGTTATAATTTTGGCCTTTAAACAGTCACATGTCTCTTAAAGAAATCAAGAGAAGAAAACACATATATAAAGTTTTTATAGCCCTGGCTGGTGGGGCTCAGTGGATTGAGCACCGGCCTGCAAACCAAAGGGTCGCCAGTTTGATTCCTAGTCAGGACACATGCCTGGGTTGCAGGCCTGGTCCTCAGTAGGGGGCACATGAGAGGCAACCACACACTGATGTTTCCTTCTCTTTCTCCCTCCTTTTCTCCAATAACAAAATCTTTTTAAAAAATAAAGTTTTTATATTCACTCACATATTTACCATTTCAAATGGTTTTCATTCCTTCCTAGAGATCTGAATGTCCATTTGCTGTCATTTTCCTTCAGCCAGGTGAATTTCCTCCAACATTTCACACAATGCAGGTATGCCGGTGACAAGTGCAGTTTCTGTTGATCTGAAAATGCATCTATTTTGCCTTGGTGTTTGAAGCACATCCTCACTGGATGCGGAAATGTGGTTTGAGAGGGTTTCGTTCCTTTCACCACTTTAAAACGTTGGTCTGTGAGGTGCTTGCCTCCACTGTTTGCAATGAGAAGTCAGCTATCATTTGGGTCGTAGTTCCTCTGTTTATGATGTCATTTTTCTTTGGCCATTTTCAGGATGCTTCTCTTTATCTTGTGATCTCAGCATTTTGACTACACTGCACTAGGTGGGGTTTTCTTTTCTTTTTTTTTTTTAATCCTCACCCAAGGTCATACCTACTGGCTTCA